ACACAGAGAGACTACTTGTTGATGTTTTTTTTACCCATAAATCTAAGTAAAGTAAAGTAAAGAACACTTATTCAAGCTTTCAGACGTATTGGACATATAAGGCTAGACATATATTTTATAGACCAATTGAACCTCGGTGGGTGATGTGGTCAACATCACACCGGCCCCCTTTACTTCCCAGGACTGCACCTGGTACCTACTCAAGGCTGGGTTGGCTGGGAGCCAAAGTCATTTGTGAAGATAACCCGGTTCCGCCAGGACCCAAACCTATGACTTTTTGATCCGTTGGTGAGCGTCTAGCCACTACACCACAGCGACCTTACCTAGTGGTGGGGTCGGAGTTATTCAGCTAAAGTTGACTCAGGAGCCAAAATGCTGAACATGCCAAAGGCAGGAGCTCTAGTGGTATACAGATCATTAAGGCTAGCATAGTAAAGGCTTGCACAGTAAAGGCTTGAACGGTAAAGGCTTGCACAGTAAAGGCTTGCACAGTAAAGGCTTGCACAGTAAAGGCTTGCACAGTAAAGGCTTGCCGGTAAAGACTAGCACAGTAAAGGCTTGCACAGTAAAGGCTTGTACAGTAAAGGCTAGCACAGTAAAAAGGCTTGCACAGTAAAGGCTTGCACAGTAAAGGCTTGCACAGTAAAGGCTTGCCGGTAAAGACTAGCACAGTAAAGGCTTGCACAGTAAAGGCTTGCTGGTAAAGACTAGCACAGTAAAGGCTTGCACAGTAAAGGCTTGCCGGTAAAGACTAGCACAGTAAAGGCTTGCACAGTAAAGGCTTGCACAGTAAAGGCTAGCACAGTAAAGGCTTGCCGGTAAAGGCTAGCACGGTAAAGGCTTGAACGGTAAAGGCTTGCACAGTAATGGCTTGCACAGTAAAGGCTTGCACAGTAAAGGCTAGCACAGTAAAGGCTAGCACAGTAAAGGCTAGCACAGTAAAGGCTAGCACAGTAAAGGCTAGCACAGTAAAGGCTAGCACAGTAAAGGCTTGCCGGTAAAGGCTAGCACAGTAAAGGCTTGCCGGTAAAGACTAGCACAGTAAAGGCTAACACAGTAAAGGCTTGCACAGTAAAGTATTTGTTTATATATGGCACACTTTTTCTTATTTTTTAAGTTTACTAAATTTAACAGTGAAAGTTTTCATTCACCACCACTAGTTTATCATCTATCATGGCACTTTGATGTTGTATTTATATATATATATATATGTTCACATATTGAACTCTGTTTCTTGTTGTTCTGTAAGTAACTAAACTTAATGATAATTTCAACCACCACCCATATTCCACAAAGAAACAGAAAACTATTGGACGTAAATGTGCCTAGAAAAACCACAACAGCCAAAAAATGCAAGGGTGTTGGTTCTGCAATGTCCTGTAAAAGATATGCAACTAACTTTTTTTTTAATGAATGTATGTACATTGATCACCCTCCGTTCCTTGCTATTTTGAAAGTTAAGTAAACTTAATGTTGATTAAAACCATCAACCAAGTTTGTTGTCCATAATGGCACTATAATAGCATATATGTGTGTGTGCGCACGTATGCATGTGTTTGTGGGTTTGTGTGGGTGTTTATGTATATAGCTCACTGATCTTGTTATTTTGTTAGTTAACTAAACTTAGTGATAGTTGCATTCACAACCCATAGTTTACCGTCCATCACAGCATTATGTATGCATGTTTATAGATCACACCCTGTTCCCCGCCATAAGCAGTGAAGTGTTATAGGTTATTTTAAAAGCCTAATTAGCAACACATTGATCTGTGCATCTGTATTGATTGATTGCTTGTGGTGTAAAAAAAAACACAGCTGGTCCACTTGTTTGGACTTGTTTTCCTTCCTAACTCCATTATCTTCATTATACCATTGCATGAGACTTACACATTTTGTGTGGTTTTAACTGAGACATACTTAGCAAAGTGATTGCACAGAATAGAAGGGAATGGAGAAATAGGCTGAGGGCACGACATGACAATGAAGGAATAAATACTTAGACATGAAACCACTAATGGCTTGGAAAGGGGGGGGGGGGGGGGGTGGGGGGGGGGGGGGGGGGGGGTGCTGTGTTTTCCAGTCCAGGGGTGATAAGTTCCAATCCTATCAAGATGGATTTTGACAAGTGCCCTGGGCTCTTAAGTTCATAATAAATAACAATTGTGAGGTTTCAACAGTGGGAGTTTTAACTACACAGTATTTGTTGCTAACTATTTGAGTTAGATCAGTGAGGGACCAATCTCTTCCATGGTTTGACTCTCATACCACTGTCTGAAAGCCACGAAAGTCAGTAAACAGTTTTTTTGCATGTCCTTCACAGGGCCTTGCAAAACCAACCCCAACATTTTTTGGGCTGTTTATGATCTCACTAGGCAGTTTTTCATTTAGTAGTTTACCATTGCTTCTGAATGGGGAGCTCTCGCTACCACTGATGTAACCAAGGCAAGATCGTCTGCTGCCAGATTGCCTGCCGATTGCTGTGATCGAATCCAGCACCACGAAATTACGAAGCACTTTCGCAAAGACCAAGCCACTGGATAATCTTGCCTAAAACTGGGTGTCGGGAAGTGTACTTTAAAGTAAAGGGGGCCGGCATGATATTGTGCACATCACACATTGAGTGCTGATCGATATTTACAAACAAGGGGCTAGTGCCACATACCCAGCATACCTCAGGTTATGTAAATGGACTCGACCTTTCCCGTACCTAGAATATATAACTTTTATAATGTTATAAGCTTTTATTAGGTTTGCTTTGGTTTGTTTGTCTGGTACCATTTTTTTTTAAATACTTAGAAAATAACATTTGCACCTAGAATTGGTGGTGGAGACAGATGGTTTAACCCGGTATGCTCCTATATCACTTATTAGTACTGCACCATTTATAGACAGTCCTAATTTGCATGACATTCTGTGGAAAGTTGGCCTGTGTGTAAAAATCTGCTTCAACACTGCCTTCGTTCTTTGGCTACATCCTAATGATAGTTGTACGTGATCACTTGGGAATCCTTGAGGTCACTGACATTATATGCTGAAGGAATTGAGTAGTGTACTTCTTGACACTGATAGATGCAGAAGAAAGAAGTAGAGATAAGAGGGCACACTAAACTAAACAGCTTACAAACTGAAATAATATTTACTGCTCAGGGAATTAAACCTGTCCCAGTTGTCATCTGGGGTGACAGGTGCGTTTACTAGAGTGTCAACTCTGTTACTAGTGTTAACTCGATTTTTATGTGGGTTTTTATTAAGTATCTCTTGGGCCTATTTTTTTTCTTGCTTCTGCATCTATGAGTACCAGTAACCACATTACTTTGTTTATCGTGCTAATTATTGTTGCAGTGTTTTGAATGTTTCTTTTTATCGTGTCCTAAATCAGAGTCATGAACCCTGGTAGCAGCTAGTGCCACATTCAGATTAAAGGACAGCTTTGATAAGTCATCAACAACAAATGTCCTGTGTTTTCACAGTCATACAGGCTTCTTCCAGGACATCTCTTGATGTAATTTATCCACTTGTATTAGCTTCACAGAATGTAAGGCAGAATCACTAGCGTTGAACTTTGGGAGAAAAGAAACGTATTCAGGTAAATCAAGAGATGAGGACAAGATGCTGGCATTGGATAGAACACACACAGAGAAAATGTTAACAGTATACTTAGAGTCCTGCAGTGTCAAAGGAATACAAGAAGAACAAAAGGGAAAAAAACACATGGAGAATGTGATCAAAGAGATGGAGTAGGACATGAGATGAGCAGCACACAAAGGCAAAACCAAAAAATGCAAAACCATAAACAGTGAAACCATAGAAAGACTGGGCACAAGTTGATTGGGAACCTTTGCTCTATTGGGAGATAAAGCACAGAGGAAGAACTCAAGTGTTAAACCTTCAATCATTGGTTCACCTATCTTCTATTTTCAGTAAAGAGGTGAATGATCGAGAATGTATTGACTTTCTGGTTCTGCAGAGAATCACATGCATGGGAGAAAATGAATAGACTTATAGTGCAAGGGTGTTCTGAATAATTTATCATAACAAAGGGAGTGTAAAAAAAAATATTACAGGCTGAGTTGATACAAAATTTGTGGTTAGGCAGCTATAATATGTATTATATTTATTTTTTGCCAATGTAGGAAACAGTAGCAGAACCAACCCCAGCATTTTTTTGGCTGTTGTGGTTTTTTTAGGCAAGTTTACATCAGGTGGTTAGCCATTGCTTTCTGGACAGTCTGCTTCTGGATACCACTGTCGAAACCAACGCAAGATGCAAGGCCCGCAGTTGGAATCAAACCCTGTACACCAGCATTATGAAGCGCGTTTCGCAACGCCTAAGCCTCAGATGATGACAGGAAAAAGTACACATGGAGGAAAATCACCTCAGAAGGAAATACATATTTCAGCATGTCACAGGCAAAAACTTCAAAGCCATGTTCACAGGCAGCACATCCATAATGTTTAGTACAGCTATAAAACATCTGAGCTGGTGTGTAGTGCAGAGATGTAATTGGGCTCAATAAATGTCACATAAAAGCACAGGTGTGTCTCAACCTGGCTCCCAGAACAACACATAAAATGACTCCCGGAACAGAATGTAAACTGACTCACTGAACGGCTGTAGTACAAGACTTCTGTCCCAAAGTTGTATTTTTCATTTATGTGAGTAAACAGTAGAGTCAAGGACTCTTTTCAACGCCTTCAGGTTTATTGGGCATATAGGGCTAAACATAAATTTGTTAGACCAGTCAGTACTCAGTGGGTGATTTGGTCTTTATTTTGCCTTTACTTCCCAGGACTCCACTTGATAACTTTTCAAGGCTAGGCGGACAGGGGAGTCAAAATTCCGACACTTTACAAAAAAAAAAGTTATGCTAAGATACAAAAACTATAGCATAGACACTACTGAATTGAAAACTCCTGCTACAGAAAGGGTTAGTTGCTTTTGCTTATTTTGCCCCTTTTGCTTATGCTTAATACAATTGATGAATGTGTTTTGTCTTCCAGTTAAAGATCTCATTTACTGGCGGGATGTCAGGAAGACCGGCGTCGTGTTTGGGACCATGCTGGTGCTGCTGCTGTCTCTGGCCATCTTCTCCTTGGTCAGTGTGGTGGCCTACTTGTCTCTAGCTGTCCTGACGGTCACCTTCAGCTTTGTTGTCTACAAGAAGATCATGGGGGCAGTGCAGAAGTCCACTGATGGGCATCCATTCAAGTAGGTTGTCAGATAGCTTTACATTTGTTGGTACCAGCCTGTGATTACACTTGGCTCTTTTTGCACTGAAAAGTTATCGTTCATAGTAGCCAGTGTTTGAGCTTAGACAAGTTTCAATAATTACACTGTTGGGCAGAAGAAGTAAAATAAAACAAACAATTCAGATCAGTGAGTAAATGTAACAGCCATCTGTGATAGAAGAGAGACAGAAATGTGTATTGTCTTTGGACAATCCAGCGAACATGCGAGGAGTTGCACAGTATGGAAAGAGTTAGAATAAGAGTCAAATTAGCAGCATGTGTTGTCTGTTCTTCTTCTTAGCCTTCAATGGCAACATGTTATTGTTCTTCGTCCACCTCTTGACTTTGGTATTCTTCCTTGACTTGAGTCTTGTATTGCATGCACAAGTTTTTACTGATCTGGCTTATCTGTTTGCAGATTGTTGGTTTCTCATCTCTGAGGAAGGCGCACTCTAACTTAAAGGAAACTCCCTAATTAGTTGACTTTTACAGCATGCTTGTTGGGGTTGGGGGGCAGTGAGTCCCTCATTTATAGACTTTGGTGGTGGGGAAATCTAACCTTATTGAAGTAATAGACAGTTTAAGTTATTGACCATTCCCGGATTTAATTTAATTAATACCATAGAATTTATTTGTTTGTTGTTGTTTACGCTACGCCTCTTTGCGAACAGTGAAAGCATATTTTGCAATATATTTGAATGGGTTTAGCAATGAATGAAACCAATAAAATTGTTGTGTGTACTTTACCCATTATGTTTATGTGTTCTTTATCATGGTTCATTGGCTACAGCACATATCATATATTTTTGTAGTGGATATTGAAACTGTTTGGTTGTGTGAGGACTGTTTTGATCAAGTATAGCAATGTACTTTGGTATAGATTCGTTTTTCTTATTTGATAGTCCAGGGATTCACACAACAAATTTAAGGGTACCTGTGATATGTGCTTTTATGATCAAATGAGAAGAGAACTGATTGTCCACATCAGAAGGAGATAATTTACATTCTTTGGTCATGTCATGAGAAAGACAAAACTGGAGTACATCATGACCTTGGGAAAGTTGAAGAGGAAAATAATGAGAAGGAGACAGTGAGAAAAGATGCTGGATGGTTTGACAGAGTGTGAGAGAGAGAGAGAGAGAGAGAGAGAGAGAGAGAGACACACACACACACACACACACACACACACACACACACACACACACACACACACACACACACTCTTTCACTCACTCACTCACTCACTCACGCACGCACGCACGCAAGGCATGTCATAAGAGTCAGCTAACTGGAAGCTTCCCTCGAAGTCGGTTTGCATATGCCCAAGCGGCAAGAAACAACCAGCTGCACACAAATGTGCCAGTAAAACAGATGTACACGCAGAACTCAGGGGCGCATGGCCAAGGTCGAAATGGACGAACAGACGGGACTTTCCTCCAGAGCTTACAGCTGGTGAACGAAGAAGATCATCACCACCATCCACAGCCTTCTGTCATGTGCATTGCCGATCATTATTGTTCAGAACAGACAGCGTCCATATCTGGAGAGAATGTTTCAGCTCAGAGTTAGCACAGAGTCTGAATGATTTTCTGTCCACACAGGCAAACTTTGATCAGATTGTAACAGGCACCGTCAGGATATGAATTCCTCTTTGACTGCTGAGGAAGGGCTTGTGTGGGAATGTCTTGAGTTAGTAATGTCAGTTCTTGAGTCATTCATTCATTATTTCAGATGATCCCATACTTTAATGCATAACAGAGTATTATAGTGCCAGTCTGTTTGTGTTGGTACTTCTGACGGCTGCCTTATGCATTTAATGTGTGTATGTGCTGTTGGCTTTGCTGGGGTTGCATCAGTTTTTTTTTTTTTTTTTCAGAGGAGACAGTGATGGACACTATGGGAATGACCCCATTTGAATTAAAGTTAGGAACTGCTGTTACCGGATCACAGTGTCTTGTTCGTTGGCAGGTGGTTAGATTATGGCACGGTAAAATATGTCTAATCAATGTCTTTCAAATGTTTATCTCTTTCAGACCTCTTCTGGAGATGGACATTACCTTGAGTGAAGAAAAACTGAAGAGTGTTATCCAGAATGTTTTGAAGAACACCAACAACGCACTGAACGAAGTCCGACGCCTGTTCTTGGTTGAGGACACTGTCGACTCAATCAAGGTGAGATTATACCCTTACATTGTTTGGGTTAAATGTTTGGTTTTTCAGTCCCTTTCACATTTTTGTTCATGTTATTTTACTGTGTGAATGGCATGTCTTTGTGATTGTTTTCATTCATTTGTATAGTGTATGATTCCTTTTTTGTGTGTCTTAATTCCTTTGTTGATGAGTCGCAGCAGGAGCTGCAAGTCACAGCAGGAGCTGCAGTTTGTGTAATACTTTTGCGAAATGAGCAGCTGCTCTGTAAAGGGAGATTAAAAACTGATTGCAGTTTATTTTTTCCGTAGGGTTCACTGGTTGTTAATTCTGATAGAAATTTCTGGTTGTTCATCCACTGCTGGTCTTTAGGGTTATTCAAGAACTTGTGTGTTGCTTAGATATCCATTTTATAGATCTGGCTTACTTGTATGCAGACTGTTGGTTCCTTGCCTCTCAGGCACAAGCACTCCGACTTTAAAGGGATTAGTCACCGTTTACAATATGCCTGTCTGGGGGGAGGGGTTTGTCTCCTCTCTTCACCCCGCCCCCTCCTCTACCCCCCCCCCCCACCCCTAGTCCCAGTGGAACACCGAAACTCTCATGGGGAGAAACTGAAATGAAATCGATCATGTTGTTGCCTTTGTACACCCTTTAAGTAAAGTCATTTGACTACAGGGTCTCCTAAGTTCTGTTCCGACTAACAGGCTCTGGGGAAAGTATTCTATTTAATACTTCATCCTGCTTATTTGCTTACTCCCTTCCAACGCCTTTATATACTTTGAAAAAAAAAACGTTAGCAAACTTCCATAAATACATTTTACAGTAATTTATTAATGATTTTAAAAAAAAATTTGTGTTAGTCTAGGATTTTTAAACGCAATTCCAAAGGGGTCATGACCCTTTTTTTGTTAGTGTTACAGGGGCGAAAGGGTTAACTATCATCTTAATAATATATTGTTTGCAGTTTGGGCTGCTACTGTGGGCACTGACATACATAGGGTCATGGTTCAACGGCATGTCACTCATCATCATAGGTAAGCTTGTGGTGTTTGTCCTAAGAAAATGTACACACAATTTCTTGTAAGTAACCATAGCAATTGTTTTAATTTAGTTGTATTAAAAAATTTTTTTTTTTTTTTTTAACTTTCATTGTTTTTCAGGAGATCATCATCATCATCATCCTGTGGTACCATTATATGTCACACAAGGCTCGCAGAGTAGTCCTCCATTCTCTTCTATCCTGTGCAGTTTCTTTAAATACTATGGATGTTATCTAGTCCAGAAGCTTTAGCTTCTATCAGCAGTGTTCATTTTAGGGTTTCTCTTTGATTTTGTTATGTCTTGAATCCATTGTTTTGCACCATAGTAACATTTCCACAATCCAATTCTAGTGCTTATTTTTGAGCCAATTATCATGTATGTCTGGGCACTGACTTCAACAGAATAGCGTTCATCAGCAGCCTTGATATATGTGCTCTGGGCACTGACTTCCACAAAACAGCGTTCATCAGCAGCCTTGATTTATGTGCTCTGTGCACTGACTTCAACAGAACAGCGTTCATCAGCAGCCTTGATATATGTGCTTTGGGCACTGACTTCCACAAAACAGCGTTCATCAGCAGCCTTGATATATGTGCTCTGGGCACTGACTTCCACAAAACAGCGTTCATCAGCAGCCTTGATTTATGTGCTCTGTGCACTGACTTCAACAGAACAGCGTTCATCAGCAGCCTTGATATATGTGCTCTGGGCACTGACTTCCACAAAACAGCGTTCATCAGCAACCTTGATATATGTGCTCTGGGCACTGACTTCCACAAAACAGCATTCATCAGCAGCCTTGATATGTGTGCTCTGGGCACTGACTTCCACAAAACAGTGTTCATCAGCAACCTTGATATGTATGCTCTGGGCACTGACTTCCACAGAACAGCGTTCATCAGCAGCCTTGATATGTGTGCTCTGGGCACTGACTTCCACAAAACAGTGTTCATCAGCAACCTTGATATGTGTGCTCTGGGCACTGACTTCCACAAAACAGCGTTCATCAGCAGCCTTGATATATGTGCTCTGGGCACTGACTTCCACAAAACAGCGTTCATCAGCAGCCTTGATATATGTGCTCTGGCCACTGACTTCCACAAAACAGCGTTCATCAGCAGCCTTGATATATGTGCTCTGGGCACTGACTTCCACAAAACAGTGTTCATCAGCAGCCTTGATATGTGTGCTCTGGGCACTGACTTCCACAAAACAGCGTTCATCAGCAGCCTTGATATGTGTGCTCTGGGCACTGACTTCCACAAAACAGCGTTCATCAGCAGCCTTGATATGTGTGTGCTCTGGGCACTGACTTCCACAAAACAGCGTTCATCAGCAGCCTTGATATGTGTGCTCTGGGCACTGACTTCCACAAAACAACGTTCATCAGCAGCCTTGATATATGTGTTTTGGGCACTGACTTCCACAAAACAGCGTTCATCAGCAGCCTTGATATATGTGCTCAGGGCACTGACTTCCACAAAACAGCGTTCATCAGCAGCCTTGATATATGTGCTCAGGGCACTGACTTCCACAAAACAACGTTCATCAGCAGCCTTGATATATGCACTCTGGGCACTGACTTTCACAAAACAGCGTTCATCAGCAGCCTTGATATATGCACTCTGGGCACTGCACAGCACTTATGGTCCAAAAAATAATAGCAGAACCTACCAGCTGTATCTTAGAAAGGTTGGTAGGGGTCTGACTGCATTGTCTCCTAGAAAACTAGCTGAACAATCCAAGCAGACATAAATGAATCAGCCTTTAGATAGAGGAGCTGAGCATTAGGTGGTTGAGAACCTTGTGATCTGTTGGATAATTTGTTTGGTGTGTTTTGTAAGGGATTTATAGATCCGATAAAGAAATGGAGAATTATTAGTTAATCTATTAAAGAATAAGTTTAGTAGACCCTTTGTTACAGCCATAGGGTCCCCCCGATGGGTTCCAGGCCTTATTGGAATAGACCTATTGCTCCCCTAACAAACATGTCACAAAAGATGACTAATTAGGGGAGTTTCAAAGTCATAAGAGTTCTTCTGGTTGAGAGGTGAGCAATCAACAGTCTGTATACAAATAAACCAGATCTTGTAAAGTGGATGTGCACACAAAATTGATGTTCTTGAAAAGGACCAAAGTCTAGAAGTAGACAAACAACCAAAACTTTCTGCCAGAGCTGACAGCTGATGCACACAAAGATTCTTATTCTTTCCGTTTGCTTGAAATAAATTATATCTGCAGTGAAGTCTCTGGTATGAATTTTGCTGTCTTTTGTAATTCACTTAGCGACCCGAAAAGTTTAGCTTCCACCAGTGTCCCTCTTGGCCAGAAGTTTTGTCTGGACACATATCTGGGACAGACTTGGAAGATGTGAACCATTGTCTGAGGTGCCAGTCCACAGGTGCACATGGCGGATTCGACCAATCTTTAATTTTGTGTACATGTGGCTGCGAAATCGATTGTGCCCTGTTCTAACACAAAGATGAAGAAGAAAGATGTAGGGTATAATAGAGATAGCTGTTAGCTGCATATTTTCAGTAACATTGCCTGCCCCTTCTCTCATTTGTCATGTCTGGTGCCGACGCTGGTTATCATACTCTGCTATATCGTCTGCATTTGTTATGTTTATGAACTTGGTGTTGCCGGTATTATTACTTGTTTTCCACATGTTATATCTTTTCACATACATCTCTCTTTCTGTGCCTCACTTGCCTGGTATATCCACATAGAGTTATCTGTTCTGTTGATGTGCTCCACAAATTTTATTTGTCTTGCTGTTATGTGTTTAAAAGGTCATCTTGTAACAGCCGTTGATCTCAGTACCTTAGCAAGCTTTTGTTTTTCTTTTCTGTCCACGATATTCTGAACATGCTGCTGAAACCTAATGGTACATTTCACCCGCTTGTAATTTGTAAATAACAGTTAAATTTGTGTTATTTTTCAGCACTTATTCTGCTGTTCACAGTGCCAAAAGTGTATGATACATACCAGGTAATAACAGAGCTTGTCTGTCATGTCTGTAAATTAATATTTTTTTTAATTTGAATCATCGGATAATTTTTGGACATATAATAAAATACAAAACAGAATAGACAAACTTTGCCTGTGTAGTAATGTTGTAGAGTAAGCAGTAATTTAATAGGAAAAGATCTTCACCATTACTTATTAGTTTGTCTTGCAGGGTTGCTCCAGTGGGCCACATTTTGTCTCTCTGACTGACAGAATCTGGGCATTGCTCAAATGGGCCAGATTTGGTCTCTCTGACTGACAAAATCTGGGCAGTTGCTCCAGTGGGTCACATTTAGTCTCTCTGACTGACAGAATCTGGGCATTGCTCAAATGGGCCAGATTTGGTCTCTCTGACTGACAAAATCTGGGCAGTTGCTCTAGTGGGCTAGATTTGGTCTCTGACTGAGAGAATCTAGGCATTTGCTCTAATGGGCCACATTTGGTCTCTCTGATAAAATCTGGCCATTCGTGTAAGTCATGCTCTGGAGTTTGTTTTGCACTCGGGGCATTTGCATAAGCGCTCCGTCCCCATCTTCAGCAGCCAGCGAAGAGTTCCAATACTAATGATGCCAGTAGCATTCTGATTAAACGTCCGTCTTGCCTTTCCTCTGAGCCTCGAGCATCTGCCAGCACCTCTCGTCACCCCCAACTGCAGCAATCTCACCAGACTGGTGATCCATCTGCTCCTCCGAATTGTACACGCTCTCCCACAAGGCACTAACCACGTCTGCCTTATCATGTATCAGTATTCCACCAAGTTGTGCAGAGCCAGCCAGTCTGTCCGCCTGTTCATTTCCCAACACACCGGCGTATTCCGGTGAAAAAATCCAGACAATACTCCTCACTTGTGTCCTCCGCAGCGAAGCATGCCACTCTGCACGAAGCATACCTGTTCTGATCTTCCTCAGCATGCTTTCTGAATCAGTTACAATCACGACGTGTGTGTCGTGTTCTCTAGCCAGCGGAAAGCTGCAGTGACCGCCTCCACCTCTATTCTAAAGCTGGATGTTGTGGTATCATCTGCTAGGCTCTCCTGCACCAAACGTCACACCATTAACTTTTGCTAAGAAGCCCCAAGCACTTCTTTTGCCTCTTGACACTGAACCGTCTGTGTAAATGATCAAATCCTCTGAGCGAGCATTATCTTGAATTAATTGCTGAATTTCCACCTCTGGTTGCACCTGCAACTTCTGGACAAATTTAAGTACAGTCAGTACAGTGGAATGAAGCTACAGTGAAACCTCAGAATACAAATTTAATCTATTCCATGACCAAGCTCGTATGGTGAATTACTCGTGTCCTGAAACTATTTTGTCCCATTAAAATTAATATAAGTGGTTTTAATTCATTTCATCCCTGTTAGTTTCAAAGTGATGTTTGTCATTTTATTAACAGAAAAACTTTGCGGCACTGCCTTTTTTGTTTTTTATTTTTTTGCTGGCAGCAGAAATCAGGGTTACTTCCGACCATGATGCTACAGCCCATCAAAAAGTGCCTTGTTAACTGTCTTAAGTCCTCCCTTGGCAATGTTAACATGACCTAATCTGTTCAGAAGATATTGAGACCCATCTCTATCCTACATTTTGCCTCATATTCTGTAGAGAAACAAAATGTGGTGCCTTATCTCGTATCCTGGAAAACCTGTGTCTAGTGGCCAGCTGCAGTAAAATAATGAGTGTTAACTCTTCCACTACCAGACAGCTCACCACCTCTGTTAATTATTCTGTATTTTTAACTCATTCCTTCCCTTAGCTATTGAATCGACACAGATTATTTTCAGAATCTCTTGAAATCATTTGGAATGGAAAGGTCATATGGTCAGGAACTTGTCACCTCAGATATTTTGGTCGGAATCTTTAAAGGCCTAACATTGTTCACTCCAGTAGTCGGCAACTCTGACTATAATGGCTTGATGGCATCCAGAAGTCCGGCCTCAAGAAACTTTGTTGCCTGTGCACACCAGGACACACCGGAGTGAAAGAGATCACAGAATGGCTATGTCTGCAGTGGTTAGTGGAGGAAAAAGTATGAACAAGGCAAAAGCACTGGATGATTTACTGCATTCCAGAGACTTTGAGACAAAGTAGTCAGTGACGATGAACCGGCTATTGGGAATGGGAGTTAAACAAGGACAAGCGTGCAGAATCTGGTTGCGGGGTAGAGAAAGAAGATATGCCAGTCAGCCCCTGTTGGGTACGGTGAGCATGGATTCACTGAGATGGCGGCTTCATCAGATTATGGAGCACAAATAGGTCGTCACGCTAATGTACATGGGTGTCGATAGGATAACAAGTAACAGCTCTAAATGCCATGTGGCAGACCTGTAAGCAAACACATTAACTGTTTTCTTTCTGTTGCCTTTGCTTTCAGGTTCAGATTGACAATTATATCAACCTGGCCAAGTCCCAGATAAACAATGTTTTGACCATGTGAGTATTTTCTTTGCATGATTTAGTCAGTCGACCAGTCAGATTCTGTCTTTGCAGTGAAGGTTTGGCTGCATTGGATCTCATCTCTGTGTTTTATCCTGGTTGTGCACTCTCTGAGACTGATCATCAAGTTCTTTTTTCTTTTTCTTTCCTGTTCTCCTTGCCAATGATTTTCAGATGAGAAGGCTACAGGCCTTTACCATGTCTGTGGTGTGACCTCTGTCTTCCACTGTTCCAAACAGCTTGGTTTCTATTGGAATGCCAACCGGCCAGGCTTGGAATCTTTCTACTCTGTCTAGAGAGCTTGCCCGTAGCACCTGAATCCCCAGTCTTGAATGTCTCTTACATATGTCGGCAGTCTTTTGGAATTAGAAAATAATAGTGTGTTGTTTGAATGTGAGGAGGTTGGTTGATTCTTCAAGATTTTGTCCTGGATGGAAAGTGTTTCAATGGGTTCTAATATCTATCTTAATCTGAGTTTTATTTCCTTGTAAGTGCATCCTAAAGCTGGCACCTATTTCATGTTATCCCTTTCTTTTACCATATTCTTCCATTTGTATTGCTGTCTACCTCTTGCTTGCTTACCTTCAACTGTTCCTCTCCAGGATGGTGTTTTATAAGTGTTAAGTCTTTTAATGTAGTCATTTTGTTTCTTTCAGATATTTTTGTAAAAGGATTCCCAGTTGTTTTTTTATTTTTTTTTTATGGTGGTGGGGTGTTAGACTTCTTAAGATTTTTAAATTAATGAACGTAGTACCTCTGTTGACATTGTATGTAACCAGAAAGGGGAATTCTTCTTCTACATTTTCCAGCAGTGATCTTTGAAATGTCTATGTCTGAACTGATTTGATTTGACTTTCTACCTGTTCCAGGACTTTTTTTTGGCATCCATTTTTACATGTTTTGCTTTTTGTGTGTGTTCAGACTTAAACAAATTCCAGTAAATGAAGAGCTGAAGAAAAGACATTGGCTCTGGATAGGACACACATGGAGAAAACCAGACGACAGTATAACTAAATATGCCTTACACAGGAATCCACAGTCAAGGAAATAAATGCAGAAAAACAATGAGAATTAGAAAGTGAAGTAAAGAAGATGAGGACTTGGTGTGAGCAACATACAGTAGCAAAGGACTAGAGGTCTTGGGGTGAGCTACACACTGTAGCAAAGGACAGGACGACTTGGTGTGAGCTACACACAGTAAAAAAGGATAGGACGACTTGTGTGAGCTACATACAGTAGCAAAGGACAGGAGGACTTGGTGTGAGCAACAGACAGTAGCAAAGGACAGGAGGACTTGGTGTGAGCAACATACAGTAGCAAAGGACAGGAGGACTTGGTGTGAGCAACATACAGTAGCAAAGGACAGGAGGACTTAGTGTGAGCAACATACAGTAGCAAAGGACAGGAGGACTTGGTGTGAGCAACATACAGTAGCAAAGGACATGACCACTTGGTGTGAGCAACATACAGTAGCAAAGGACAGGAGGACTTAGTGTGAGCAACATACAGTAGCAAAGGACATGACCACTTGGTGTGAGCAACATACAGTAGCAAAGGACAGGAGGACTTGGTGTGAGCAACATACAGTAGCAAAGGACAGGAGGACTTAGTGTGAGCAACATACAGTAGCAAAGGACAGGAGGACTTGGTGTGAGCAACATACAGTAGCAAAGGACAGGAGGACTTGGTGTGAGCAACATACAGTAGCAAAGGACATGACCACTTGGTGTGAGCAACATACAGTAGCAAAGGACAGGAGGACTTGGTGTGAGCAACATACAGTAGCAAAGGACAGGAGGACTTAGTGTGAGCAACATACAGTAGCAAAGGACAGGAGGACTTGGTGTGAGCAACATACAGTAGCAAAGGACAGGAGGACTTAGTGTGAGCAACATACAGTAGCAAAGGACAGGAGGACTTGGTGTGAGCAACATACAGTAGCAAAGGACAGGAGGACTTGGTGTGAGCAACATACAGTAGCAAAGGACAGGAGGACTTAGTGTGAGCAACATACAGTAGCAAAGGACAGGAGGACTTAGTGTGAGCAACATACAGTAGCAAAGGACAGGAGGACTTGGTGTGAGCAACATACAGTAGCAAAGGACATGACCACTTGGTGTGAGCAACATACAGTAGCAAAGGACAGGAGGACTTAGTGTGAGCAACATACAGTAGCAAAGGACAGGAGGACTTAATGTGAGCAACATACAGTAACAAAGGACATGACGACTTGTAGTGAGTTGGTTAAAGGCCTTTGCTCCACTAGGGGATAAAGGGCAGAAAAAGATAATCTAAAAGACATAAATTTATCATAGAGTAAAGCAGATTGTCTAAAAGACATAAATTAATCATAAGGTAAAGCAGACTGTCTAAAAGACATAAATTTATCATAGGGTAATGCAGAATATCTAAAAGACATAAATTTATCATAGGGTAATGCAGAATATCTAAAAGACATAAATTTATCATAGGATAATGCAGAACATCTAAAAGACATAAATTTATCATAAGGTAATGCAGACTGTCTAAAAGATGTAAATTTATCATAGGGTAAGGCAGAATATCTGAAAGACATAAATGTATCATAGGGTAATGCAGAATATCTAAAAGACATAAATTTATCATAAGATAATGCAGAATATCTAAAAGACATAAATTTATCATAAGATAATGCAGAATATCTAAAAGACATTTATGTACCATAGAGTAATGGTGTTATTTTATTGCCCTCAAATGTTTTGTTGTTTTCTGTGTCCATTTGTCCAGCATCCAGAGCAAGCTGCCATTCTTGAAGAAGAAAGAGAAAGCTAACTAGAGGATCCAGACAGGAGCATCAAGAATCAGGAGTGGCTGATCCTCACAACTGATGGTGGTGACTGTGGAGCCAAGCCAGCTGAAACTTCTCTTGATGGTTTAGTCGTAATTCACAACAACAACAGCTACATGCTGTTTATGATATTGCTGTTTAATTAATAAAGAACTACATTTGTCAGAAGCGACAGAGGTTAGATCCGTTAGCATTGGATGAAATTAAAGTAGGTTCCGAAACTTGAATGATTGTGAAATGTTTTTCCTCATTTGATGTTGAGCTTTCTCTCTAAACATTATTATGACTATATACTGGCAGAATACACCTTAGCATTATTTAAAATAGAATGGGTTTCTGAAATTGTGTTTTGCAGGATCCTATTCTCTCCCCCCCCCCCCCCCCCCCCCCCCCCCCCCCCCCCCCCCCCCCCCCCCCCCCCCCCCCCCCCCCCCCCACAAAATGACAGCCAAAAAAAAAAAGTAAAATACAGACATGATATCATTTTATTTAAACTGACATTGTTATCAAGTACTAGCATTATAGTGCATGTCCACTGTCACGTGTAGGCTTTTACAGAGCTTTCTTTGTGATTGTTCAGTTCTGGCTCTTCTGGGTCTAGCCACATTTGATCAGTGTCAGATTTTTTTTTAAAGTTATATTTTCAATGTTTTTTTCCCCTCTCCAAAAAATATTCTTGTAAAAATATTTTTCTGTGAGCATTTTATGTCATGAAATTTCATTTTTGTATGTTCGGATGATTTTATCATCAACTACTTTATGCCTCTTTTCCTTCTTTCCCGGCCATGATTCATCGCTCCTGCAATACTTGATTCTCTTGGGGTTAACTGTAAAATTTCAGCCCCCCTTGGGGTTAACTGTAATGTTTCAGCCTCTCTTGGTGTTAAGTGTAATATTTCAGCCTCTCCTTGGGGTTAACTGTAACATTTCAGCCTCCCTTGGGGTTAACTGTAACATTTCAGCCTCCCTTGGGCACAATTCAACCTCCTTTGGGGTTAACTGTAACATTTCAGCCTCTCCTTGGGTTAGCTGTAATATTTCAGCCTCCCTTGGGGTTAACTGTAACATTTTAGCCTCCCTTGGGTTAACTGTAACATTTCAGCCTCTCCTTGGGTTAACTGTAACATTTCAGCCTCGTTTGGGGTTAATTGTAACATTTCAGCCTCCCTTGGGGTTCACTGTAACATTTCCGCCTCCTTTGGGGTTCACTGTAATTTTTCAGCCTCTCTTGGTGTTAGGTGTAACATTTAAGATTTTCATGGGATTAACATTTCATCCTCTGTTAATCTGCTGTCTTCAACTTGAATGTTTTCATTTTTGGTGCTGGGCTTCTAAATCTCAACCATAGCAACAAGAAATATATCATAGTGTTGACCTCCAGAAATTGTTCCATATTTACAGCACGAAGTTAGCTTGTTTAGGAATGATGAATCAGATACATTCGATTAGCGGGAGATGAAAAACCTGCTTACTGTCACATTTTATTTTGGTCTCATACATGTTTTACATGCACTTGTTTTATGACAGACTTTTCCATAATGTATCTCATTTTTGTGTTTTATTTTTGGTAGAAGGATATGCATGTGTCAGTTTTGGCTTTAAAAATACATTTATTAATTGGAGGAAGATAATGATGATTTGTCTTTGTGACTTTCATTGTTTTGTCCACCAGATAAGTAATTTTAAAATAATAAATATGCCATTCTGGCACGTCAGAAATTTTTATATGACAGCTGAATAATTCAGTTCAAGTCATGATTCCTAAAAATATTAGTAACAAAAGGTAAAATAAACCATTGATCCTTGTTTAAAAGTACAAAACTTCTGTGCAAATTTCAATGTATACATCTTGACTGATTTCTGTATGAAAACAAAACATTGCCATTTGGATGTGAAAGTTCTACAGGCTACACAAAATCTTTCCTGGCTATAAATATTTCATAATACAGTCCAGTCTGGATAAGTAAAAGTCACAGGGACCTAAGAAAAGCCACATATCTCCCAGATTTACGGTATCTATCATGGAATCAAGGTTGAAGGGTTGCGATATTCATAGTACCAAGCCAAATGGTTAACAACTCATGGAAACACTTTCTGGAAACTTAGGGGGAAAAAAGTTAATGTTTATAACATGCTGGGGCAGCGAGTCTGAATATTCATAGTACAGACGCAAATGGTTAACAACTCATGGTTTCTGGATACATGAAAAAAAAGTTAACGTTTATAACATGGTGGGGCAGCAAGTCTATTCTCTTTGCGCCCCCCCCCCCCCCCCACCCACTCCATCCATGGGGGCTTGGAACAAACACATGGAGTGAAGAAGGAAGGACGTTATACATATTTCACAAATCCCTTTTCCTCATTAGATATATCAGGCATGACACAATGTTATCATTGCCACAGATTTTTTCAAAGACAACATGACATCTAAATATCCAGTTTATGTGATTCAATAATATTTTCATGAGCGTTGCTCATGTTTGTTAAGCTCATTTGTAAAGGAATGCTCAACTTTTGTTTCTCTCTGGGTATGTTGCAGCTATTCTAGTTTATAGGGAGCATTGTATTTGCTGGTGAAGTGAATAACCACAGTAAGAAACATGAGTGCTGGAAATGTTTTTCCACATGATTAGAGAATTCTGGGTACACAGTGGAACTTAAGTCTGGGAGAGTGGATATATTTGGCAGTTTAGTCGGCCCGGCTCTCTAGCGTAGTTGGCTAAACCAGATTGCGAGGAGACCGGGTGACGAACTCCTTGTGGTCCGGGTTCAATCCCGGGGGTAGGCAGGAAGGCCACATTTCTCCCAGATTTACGGTATTTACAATGGAATCAAGGCCGAAAGGTTGCGATATCCATAATACCGAGCCTAAGGGTTAACAACTCATTGCTTCTGGATACTAAAACAAAAACAAACAGGCAGTTTAGTCGTGTAGTTGATGAGAGAAGGATGGTGGTTGAGAGCTTTATAGAGCCAGTCATCGGTGTGTTGGGAAATGAGTCAGCAGATAGACTGGCTGCTGTCTGCACCACTTGATGGTGAATTGATGTATGGCAAGTTAGATATTGTGAGGGTCCTTTGGGAGCAGGTGAACAGTTCAGCGCAAATAGATCATTACAGCCTAATGCTGCGAGGAGTTACCAGGGGATCTGGGCGCCGCTCAACACTCGGGGGAAGGATGAGATAAATATACAATCAGATGGTCACTGGTACAATCGGAATTGGAACTCTTCACTTGCTGTTGAAGATGGGGACTGAGCACTTATGGGAGTCGATGTGATGTCGATTGGTAGTACTCAGGGTAGAAGGCTGTGGACCGACATAATGACTATATCTACATTGTCCTGGACTAGAAAAAGAAAGCTAATTGTGTTTAATTTTGTGTGTGTACACTTTATTACATTATTTTTCTGTATTTAGTGAATGTAATGTGATGGATGTTGTTATTCCAATATTTGCTTTTTTTTAAATGGAAACCAAACAAGTGTAAGTTTCATTGATAAGAAGATAACCCAGTGATGCTCCTTTGGAGGCCCAGATGTAGCCAGCTAAAAGCCAGCACTATTGCCATCATTTTTGTATTTGTCCCTTCTCAAATTATTTATATGGCTTATTTCATAGACGAAATAGCTGCACAGCTGTGTATTCCATGTTACTTTCAATATGATATTGTGATTCCATGTTATTTTTCCAAACCACCTTTTTTTTATGGAGGAGAGTTGTATTTGCTAATGTCTCTGGATTATTGTCTTATGAGGACAGGGGTGGGGAGTATTCTGCCTGTGAGTAAAAAAGGGCCCATGGAATTATTTGATTTGGCCTACCAAGGCGGCCATGCAGTTAAATGTGTGCCCTGCTGTGGCAGGTTGTACGTTGATAATTGTGTAGGCTTGCAGATGGTGATATAAATATCCAGTTGGCTCTTGGCAGAAATTAAGACCCTCACCTCCTATATTTGACAGAAGTCCATCATTCACCTAACAGTTTTTTGTAATTTTTTTTTTAAATCTAGGCATTTGAAAACTCTTTATGGGTTTACAAAACCAAGAGATAGTGCATTTTTTTTTAATACCATAGAATAGCAAATTTTGAGATAACAAGATGGAAGACTGTAAAAACATGGAAAGGCGTTTGTCTTTAAACAAAAATTTTTTTAATCAGTTAACAGAAGTGGTGAACCTGGAAATGTCATGACAACATTTAAGTTACTGAGCAAAATCTGGGGAGATTATTTTGGACAATAGTATCCTTTATGTCAGGGCTATTCAACTAAGTTGACTCCGGGGCCAAATTGTTCACAAATGGGAATCATCACGGGCCAGAAGCAACAGCTGCAGCATAGAAAGACCATAAATGCAATTCAAGTAGCGATGATCTGGGGGCCACTTACTAGGCCTTGGCGGGCCAGATTTAGCCCGTGGGCTGCCAGTTGAAGAGCCCTGCTTTATGTCATGATAATATATAGGGTAAAACTTAGAAAGATGATGATGGCAAAAGTTGATGTCTTTTATTTCCATTAAAAGAAGTGATGGGGAGCTGATGTGACGGAGCGGCTAGACGCTCGCAACGGATCAAAAGGTTGTGGGTTCGCTCCCTGGCGGAGCCGGGCTTTTTAAAAAAAATGACCTTGGCTCCCAGGTCGACCCAGCCTTGAGTGGGTACCGTTTGCAGTCCCAGGAAGTATAGGTGGCCAGCATGATGCTGACCACATCACCCATCCTGTGCCGATTGGTCTATATGCCCTATATGCCTAAAGGCGTGGGAAAGGGTTCTTTACCTTTTTTTAACAGAAGTGATACATTAATAAAATATCACAACAGGTATATTGGAAGACTTAAAGAGAAACCAGATAGCTTGACGTTGTCATGTAGGAACAGTGTTTACACACACACACACAAACTGGCAATATACCTGGCATTACCTTTTTTAAAAAAATGTTAATGTTGAACTTTTATCAGAACCGGTGGTTTCACAACATTGCTGTTTTC